GATGGTAATGTCATGAGTTTTGCAGGTGAAAAGCATATTTTATCCTCTGGGCACCTCGGATATCAGTAGCAAATTTCATGGGAAGTGAAACTTGCGCTCAGTGGTCTATTAGTCTGTAGGTGAAATTTGACAACATGCAAAACATGTTACATGTGCTGTTAAAAATAACTGAAAACATTATTGTTTTGATTGGCATGTAATAACAGTGGCCAAGATACTGGAATACCATAAAACCAGATGTTTTTATTAAAAGTAATCCAGAGTATACCACTCTATCTGGGCAATTGTCATTGTTAAATTGAAAATATGAAAATGTTAGTATTACATGTTGTTGCTTTAAAATCATCAAAATTCTAATTTATTCTTATACTAATCATTGTAGTCCCTGTTCCAGAAACCAACAAAACTGTGATCAGACAGCGCTGTGGCCGTCCACTGAGTAATTCAGGGTATCATCGCCTGAAAGCAAAACAAAATTTTATGAACAATATATTACAAATATCTTCCCACATCTATCAGATTCCTAGAAGTCTAGACTGCTCTTTAATCAGTCTGTGAATTAGACCATGTATGATACTGTACCCTATAACTCATTTAAAATGTTCTCATATTTAATACAATAATCCCTGCACAATTCCAGGGACCACATGTATAAAAGATAAGTACACACAAAAACCATGAAACCATGCATAGGTCAAAAGAACGAAGTGTGGTGAGAATGTGCGCATCTCACAGAGATACCAGCATCCACCCATTTTTCTAGAGATAGCTGCTGGTGATATGATGAAGAGATTAAATATAAGGTGTGAGTAGGTGTTTCACAGATTGTGTTTGCAGTCTACACACAATTCTGTGAAATGTCAATCAAAGGTGCATTTCACTTATTACTTGGGAGGAAAAGAGTTAAAGGGAAAATTTAGACAGTGTTCAGCTGGTACACATTCTTAAATCCAACAAATTTAGCTTATGATTGAAGGATTTCACAAAAAGTAAAAAAAAAAAAAAAAAAATAGCAAAACCATACATGGTGGGATACACACCAGTCATTTTAAATCAATAAATACATTTTGGTACATTATATTGTCATGAACTGTCCTAAAGCCAGTCACAAAAAAAACTAAACAAATTAAACGTATTGTACACTGAAGGTAAAATAATTATGTTAATCAGGTAGGTCAGTAATGAACGCAGCATGTGGATGATTGTAGGGTGTAATGTGTGCAAACCAAACCAGCTGCTGGAGGCCTGGGAGGAAGAAAGGTTAGGGACGAAGCCACTAAAGCCCAATTTACTCAGGTGTAGGCAGTTTCCTGATGTCTTTCCTTACCAAAAGCCAAACCAAGCATACAAGCAACAGGCAGAGAGGGAGGGACGTCACAGTATCCAAGATGTACACATCCTAATATACAAATAATAAATACAAGAAGAAGAAGAAAAAAGATGACGATGAATAAAACAAAATACATTAGAAGAGAAATAAAATGGAGCAAGATATAGGAACATTATAGTCACATAGAGTTTCTCCTAGTTGTCCATCCTTGGAAGTGGAAGTGGAAGGGTTCACCACTGACATACTGACATCCGTTCATTGCTTAGCAGAGGCAGTCCTATCCTGGAAGGGATAAGTTTTCCAACACAGGTAACCAGGTTTTTCAGAATTGTTTTTTTTCTGTATATCATCTATTGGATCTCAGCCTTTCTACTAGCAACAGTGACAGCACCTCTTCCACACAATGCTTGAATGAAGGAGGTTTCCGGGTCTCCGGGTCAGCAGTGAGGCACCCCCTTCCTCTCCCTTCTCTCCAAATAATAGACTTCTTCTTCCCTAATCGGAAGGTCGGCGGTTCAATCCCTGGCTCCCCCTGGTTGCATGTCGAAGTGTCCTTGGGCAAGATACTGAAGCCCGAATTGCCCCTGGCGGCTGTTCCACCAGTGTATGAGTGAGTGTGAATGTTAGTTTCCATTTGAGCACTTAGGCTCAGTGTATGAATGTGTATGACTGGTGAATACAGATGTAGTGTAAAAGCGCTTTGAGTGGTCGAAAAGACTAGAAAGGCGCTATACAAGTACGGAGCATTTACATTCCCAGTCTGACAGCATGCAACACAAGCCGCACACATGCGTACACTAACATCAACATCCAACAGCTAACATCACCTTATTCTTTTTTTCTTTTTGTGTTGTCCTGTTAGTGTTCTGTCTTTTCTCTTGTAATAAATAAGAAAAAAATGACTATATAACATTATATCATAAAGTTTTAGGTATGTTTATGTGATTAAGGATTAGTGCATTAACAATACAGATTGTGATTATATATTTATATGTGTGTATATATACCAGCGGGGTATCTGATGACTGGCCAGGTACATGTGTTGATATCAAGAAAACCTACCAGTGGGTCCTACCAGTCCACAGGTGCAGACTGTGCAAGGATGCCCCTGAGACAGTACAGCACATAACAGCAGGCTGTAACATGCAGACAGGAATGGCGTACATGGAACACCATAAGCTGGCATAGGAACATCTGCCAGGAGGTCAAAATGGAAGACACCTCCTAAGGAAGTGAGAAGAAGTGAGAATGACCGAGAAAGATCCTGTAGGACTTCAAGATCCAGACTGACAAACTGGTGATGGCTCACCAACTATGTGTGTGAAGAAGGCAGCAGTAATAGATGTAGTAATCCCAAGAGACTGCAACGTTGA